TCATAAGAGCGCAGGGAGTAAATATTTTAGACTTTACCACCAAGAGGCAAAAGCAAGCAAAGTATATAGGTATTTATATTACAAAAGAGAAAAACATATTCACAAATATTTTGCTGGCAAATTCAAAATATAGTAATAACTGGGTATATGTTATTATAATGCCAGTCTCCTAATGAGAAGAATGAAAATCTTTTGATGGCCGTAATACTTCCCATCCCTGCAGTTCAAAGTTAGTGTTTATAATAAAAATCAACTGTAAATGTTCACCTGCTAATGCAGATATTTAATAAGATTTTATGTCTTTCATATTTGTAAATGTCATTTTCACAGAGACTGGTACCGACAAATACCAACATCAATCCACGAGCATAAAATTTTAATTAAGAATATTCAGTGCTTAGCAGGCATGGTGCAACTGCATAATAAACACAATGTTTTTTGACCTAATTCAATAACAATATAATCCACACTCTGCTGTGCCTTAAAAGTGCCACATTTGAAATCCATTTTTTCTTCTTCTTTTGACACTATAGGCATCAACTGATAATAAAAATCATATGCCACAGTAGTACCCTCATACATGTGATACTCGGAATGCTGTTGAGTTATAACTGTGCCACTGTGATTTGTATATTGCCAAGCAGCAGTGTGAAGTGATGAGTGTAACACATATGGTCTTTGGCACAACTTCTTGGCTCTGTCACTGTAGCAGGAAATCACTTACAGACAGCAGGTAAATGAATGAGCATGGCTGTGTCCCAATAAAACTTTATTTATGTACTCTGATATTTAAATATCATGTAATTTTTGTGTGTCACAAAATATAATTCTTTCTTTGATTTTTTTCCAACCATTTAAAATACAAACAGCATTCTTAGCTTGTGGGCTGCACAAAAAATAGACAGCTAGCTGGATTTGCCTCCTGGGCTATAGTTTGCTGACTCATGCCCTACAAGATCCAAGAGAATCACTTTTCCACATAAAGAATTACCATTCTTCAGCTGAGAGATCCTATCTATATTCTATTATAAAAGCTAAGCATGTTCTGATTTTAAAGTTTAAGAAACGCACTGGAAAACATAAGGCCTGAGACTAGATTATAGTTTAGAATACAAGACTATACATTTTACACAATCATGGTATTCAAATATATCTCCTACTGATAGGTAGTAATAACTTATAATAAAGAGACCACATTTGAAACCAGAAAACAGATTCAACAGAATAACTAAATAGGATCTTAATTCTTTACCATTTTATAAACATTAATCAAAATTCCTTCATTTGCAGACAAGTTTATGCTTATACTATTTTGGAATAAGGCCTGCTATCTCTAATTTGTTATACTTACTGATGTGTTGATTCAAAACTCCATTTAAGTTTGCAATAGGTCACAATTAGATGACTCATCTATCCATAATGACAAAAAGCACACAATGACACTTAAATATATTCTTCTAATGTTCAAAATTGTGTAGACTTTACTTTTTCAAGTAATTTGATGAACTAAAATTACTGAATCCCAAATCGGTCAATGACAAAAAGCACACAGCAGATAAATATATTCTTCTAATGTTCAAAATTGTGTAGACTTTAGTTTTTCAAGTAATTTGATAAACTAAAATTACTGAGTCCCAAATTAGTCAATTAAATAGTAACTAGATGAGAAGAAATATTTGCACATATACTTTTAATCAATAGATGATTAAAAATAAATTAAGCACAAAAGCCCTTTCAGCATTTGGCAAATTAGATGCAAAAAAAGAGACATATGGGAGATAGGCAATAGGGTTGGTAGGGAAGGAGAGAGATTGTATTATAGATAACAGATAAAAAGAAAGCAACTTCAGATTTAGGCCTGAAAATAGTGTAGCCTAAAAGTATGTGTGATGCGAAGTACACAGCCTTGAGTGTCCAATACTAGAAGTTATATGAAGCTAAGAAATACCCTTAGACCAGATGGTAAGATACCATCCAAAAACTTTCCTATAAATAGGAGATAATCCTACACATAACTCAGTTTAACTCTCTTATGTATTTAGACCTTGATAAATATGGTTGGTAGATAAATAATGAGATCACAATAAAATGCTTTGTGGTACATATTCAGATGGGTAAAGGTGGTAACTTTATCATGTACATGTCATATTGTTAGATTTCCATTACAGAAGGGTTAAGTAATCTGTCCAGTTTCACAAACATAATTTGCCAAATTATACTCCAAAAATGTTATAACAACTTACATATTTAGCAACACTTTATAAGAGGGGTTATCTATCTGTACTTTATACAACACTGGGTATTATCCAATTATTTTATCTTTGCTAATCTGGTAAGTGAAATAGCCTATTTCTTTTTAATTTATATGTAACTGTCAATAAAGAATATCTTTTCCAAGTACTATTGGTAATTTGCATTTCTTTTTCCAGGAACTAACTGTTCATTTGTTTCTTTCACTATGAAAATAATATTACAACACAATCTACAACTAAATTAACTATATTAATGCCTTCAGGAAAGAAAGTATGTTTAACTTTAAAGCACTAATATGTTTGAAAAAGAAAGATTTTCCTAAGTCTTAAATTACATTCAAAAAATACATACAGTTTCAATAGTATTACCTTATGTTTATTTGAAAGTGCCAACAGAGATACTGAATAACTCTCTGGGAATAAAATTCTTGAAGAAACCCTGATCTTAAACTCATAACCTGAATACAGACACCGTTCAGTGAAATGTAACTAAATTTTTATCTCAGTAAAATGTGAGCAGTTAAACTTTCTATCACATTATCAAAGATTTATTACCTTTAATTTATTGCATTTTTGTTTATTGCTTCATCACTATAATTAAGACACAATGATTTATGACCACAACAAATGTTTCTTAGACCATAGAAAGCTATAAAACAAAGTCTTCTTTAGTCAGAAATTCTCTGATTTTACATTAGCTTATAACAATCTCAACACTACTGATTTTTAATTTTACTACTTTATATTCCAATATCTATATACTCATTCTTTTTGGTGTTTATTAAAACACATTAATCAATTTCAGTGTAAACTCCTTGAAGGTATTAACTCTTACAACCTTAGATATACAGAAAATATACTAGATGAATAAATTAGTAAATTATTTGGGAGCAATATCATGATAACAAAAAAATCCAGGAGTAATCTATACCACATTCCTTCATCACCAGCACACGAATTGAGAAATGAAATGTCTCACTGCACAAGAACTGAGAAACTCTGCTATCCATTTTGTACCATACATTCAACTCTATTGTTTAGAGCAGAGTCTCTCAACCTCAACACTACTGATATTTTCACCAGATAATTCTTTGTTTGGGGAGGCTGTCCTACACATTGCAGGATGTTCAGCAGCATCTATAGCTAATGTCTCCAGATACCGTCAAATGTCCTCTGGAGTATAAAATCACCCCAGACAAGGACTACTGGTTTAGAGACAGCTGACATTGTAAATATCAATGGTCAGAAACCTAGTGAAAGTGAGACCCCTATGTAGGACATGAAAAACTTAGGAACAGCTTCAAAAATCCCAATAAGGCTGCTAGAAAAATACTCTCTAATGCAGGGTACTCCCATGCCTCCATTGCTCTTATCAGTAGTTAACAATCAGTATACCATAATTATTCAGCCTTCATCTTGTACATGTGATTTGTGGACAAACATTTGTTAGTTTCTCCAATTCTATCTAGCCAGCTTTAAAGAGTCCAAACACCTGATGGGCATGGTGGCTCACAGCTGTAATCCCAGCACTTCGGGAGGCTGGGATGAGTGGATCACTTGAAGTCAGGAATTTGAGATCAGCCTGGCCAACAGGGCAAAACCCTATCACTACAAAAAATAAAAAAATTAGCCAAGCATGGTGGCACATGCCTGTAATCCCAGCTACTTGGGAGGCTGAGGCCCAGGAATCACTTGAACTGGGAGGCAGAGGTTACAGTGGGTAGAGATAGCGCCACCGTATTCCAGCCTGGGCAACAGAGAAAGACCTCATCTCAAAAGCAAAATGAAATAAAATGAAACAAACAAAAAAAAGATTCCAAATCCCTTTCCAAGAGCCAGTCCAAGTTTCCTACCTTAGCTAATTACCTGTACCGCTACGATGTTACTGAACAATAGAAAGGAAATTGTTCAATTATATTAGGACATTTGGCTAAGTCATTTAAGGTAAAATTCTAACAGGTGATATAACATAACATGTGTAATACTGAAGAGCAATGAGTGCATAATCATTTATAGCTGTGGTTCTGTCATAAAGATAAACACATGCAATGTTTGTTAATAAATATATTTCCTTGTGTTTCTCCTAAACAAAATCAGGAGATAGGTTAAATATTTAGAAGTACATGTTATGTTTTCTAAATTGAAATGTTTTAGAATGTTTATGTTTTCGAAATTCAAAAATGTACTACTAATTGCCTTTAATGCTTGAAAAAAAAAAGCTAAAAACACATTGAGACTTCTCAAAATTCCTTAAATATTTTATGCAAAAAAAAAAACAAAGTGAAGAAAGAATTAATTTGATAGCCTGTAACAGAAGACATCCCTGCATCAAGAGAAAATAATTCAATTAAAAGTCAATTTTTTGTATTAAATGCTCCGACAACAACTCACTTACCTCTAACAGCAGATAACCTAATTTCCAAAATAGTTCTTCCAATAAATTCTGAAGATGAAATGAGATTTAAAAATATATATAAATTTTGAAAAGCATGAAGCATTATTGTAATGTCAAATATTAACAACAATTGGGCAAATGAATGTAACATCACACAAAACTTTCATCTTCAGAATTACCAAAAGTAGTAATGAAAATGAGTAAAATTAACATATTTCTCAAAACATATCACTCTAACTCCAAACGTTTACTTTTCATTACTTGTAAAAATAATTGAAATTTTAAATCTGATAGAGTACAACTATAAAGCAGTAATAATACTAGTATTTAAACTGTTCATATTTTATACTTACATTCCTTGCAAACTCTCTGCTGTTAAATTATTCCACATTATCTCATTTGCCTGAAGATTTTCATTTTCTTCCAATAAAGAAGTATCAAACTCTAGTTCTTGTTCTTTAGCAGCTGTTGTTCTATCAAAGCATGCCAAATAATTTTGATTATTATAAATACAGTATCATAATATATCTCAGTATACACTGAAGGCAGAATATTTGTCTTTATTCAAATTATGTTAAAAAAGTAAGCACAAATAGTATAAATCAAACTAAATACTGGGTTTTAAGGTTGTGTAACTTGAGACTTAAGTTTCCTTATTAGTAGAATTCAGGTATTAACCTGCTTTATTCCAGTCACAATTGTAATAAGCATATAATAAAATGCCATGGAAGAGTATCTTCTGCATCATAAAGTTTAATATACATATAAAGTCATCACATTATTATATAAGCATTAGGAAGAAAATATAATTTCATGGATTAAATACGGATTTATGTATTTAAGCATGGATTAAATACGGAGTAACAACTAACAAATTTTTACACATCAGAAACTATACATTAGATAGTCATTATCATTGACAAAAAAACTTTTTAAATTAAAAATAGACAAAATAATCTGAAATATTCTATGTCTTGATATGATCTTTAATATTTTTTAAAGAGGAATAAAAATGTCATACCTGTGAACATCTATGAAATTATTATATTCTGTACTAGGATCTATCTGTTCAACCGACATTTGAATTTCTTTATGGACGTTCACTATTTCCTCTGTGACAAGACTAGTTATCTGGCTGTATTCATCAAATATACCTTTCCTGAAAACAAAAATAAAATTTTACAGCATTTTAAAGTTTTATCAAGAGAAATACCATCTCAAAAAGGATTGAGAACAATAAGCATAAGAAATGTAATATCAAAATTTACAGATGGTTGCTTCCTGTACCACCTTATTTCATATCTGGAGAGTAAAGTGGAAAGATTATATAAATGTACAGATCAGCAATTTATATTTGATATAATAAAATAATTACAAATGATCTAGAATAAGGCATTACCTTTTCAAATACGTATTTGATAAGTCCAAAATGTAGGGCCAGAGTTGATAACTTTCTATGTCTAAAAATTCTCATATAAATTTTGGGTTGTACAACATGGAACTCTGATCAACACCTGACTCTTTAATGTTGCTCTCCAGTGTCAGCCACTTCCTCTCGTGCTCTACCTGTCTGGTTCTTCCTGCTCCTCGGGGACTCTGCTTTTTTTTTGTATACTTAGTTCAACCAGTTCTGTACCTTGAATGACATCTAAATTTTTTCTCTTGACCTCCAGCCAGTAGCAAAAATGCCATCAAAGTTATTAGCCTGGTCTAGTAAATGCAAAAGAGGAAAAAACTATTTGTTGCAAAGTCCAGATTCCTACTTAAAAATGCTATATTGTAAAAACATGCCATTGGTTAGTAGTGGCCTCAACAGCAGATGTAGACAGACAAGCTTATCCTGCATATGCTGAAATAAATATAAAGCGTGGTTTGTTTTTCTTTCCCACAATCATTACTTATAAAAAGGTATCCTTACAAAAGCTCCTTTATTGTAAAGTATTCTCTCAATTACTTTACTTTAAATAGGAAAATATCATTTGGGGAAAAAAATGAGGTTTAAACTGCTTCAGGCAATGCTAGTTTCAAATAATTAGAGAAATCTCCTGAAAGACACAATTTAAAGAAAAGAAGAGGCAGAAAAATTTAATACAGATTTAGTCAATATCTCTGGGATTAAAATCTCATAAGTAAGAGTATTGAATATTGTTAATATAAATGAGCCTATCCAAATAACTCTTTTAAAGCAATACAGTAAATAGTTGTAATATAGAGATCATTAACATTTGCCTTTAATACAAACAAGGAAAAATGAAAAAAATCTCCTAATATTTATACGTATGGGTATTTGTTTCATGAGATTCAACTGAGGTGATATAATCATGCTTGAATTTTTAAAATTCTAAATCTAAAATGTTAGAAAGTAGAGAGAACATACTGTGGGAAACTATTATATGTCTCAAAACGATATTCCAGTGATGATGAAGATACTATTATTGAAAATTCATGTGAACAGGTTAAAAATATGTTTATTAATAAATGAAAGTAGGAAAGGAAATATTGCTAAATCAACAGTACATACATTAGAGATAAGTAAATTTATGAATCAAATATTTAAGTAGACATTTCACTTTTATCAACACTAAAACGTATACATATTAAAATTAACTTAAAACACTTTATCTTCTTAATGTGAATACAGAGGATAACCTAAAATTTAGTCTTACCTACACACAAGTATATACTATCCAATTATCTTTACCTTCACCTAAGGAGAAGTAAAAGTCACTCAAGCAGACTCTGGAAGGCAGCAAAGACAAATTTGTTCTTCTAATTTCAGAGGCTGTGGAAGTCAGTAGCCCAAGAAATACTATCCCTAATCTGAAATATTTGTATGTAAATGGAATAATGTAACACAATAATAGCTAGTTATACTAACTCTATCATGGCACTAGGGAGCCCTTCAAAGAAAACAATGCCAGTCTTTGCCTGTGTCTTCACAAGGCCTTCTCTGTCTCTCTGTGTCCTTCCTCTCGTCTTCTTATAAGGATTCCAGTCATTGGATTTAGGACCTACTGTAAATCCAGAATGATTTCATCTTGAGATTCTTGACTAAATACATCTGCAAAGACCCTATTTCCAAATAAGGTCACATTCTGAGATTCTGGATACATAGGAATTTTGAGGGAACATTCTTCAAATCATTACATTCCTCTCACAGAGAGTGCAGGGTTAGTCAGAAGATTCAAGCTTCAAGTTTCAGATCTGGGTCCATTCTCACTTGTCTGTCACAGATATACCCTGGATATAACCTGCACTTCCTAATTCTACAGGATACTATAAGGAATAAGTGAGCAAATGCACATGAAAGTGCTTTGCAAACTGCAATGTGGTGTATAAATAAAATGTTTTGTTTTAGGAACTATCATTTTACCTTTAACAGTTACTTTGGCACCTATTAACCCATTTATGCCTAAAGTTCCATTACTGGGATCTAAGCTTATGGGAGTTATTTATATCCTACTGCTCAAGGTTATTGCCAAGGTCTGATTTTTCACACACAAAAAAATTTGTAACCTCTAGCATAAATGGGTTAACTTATTTAATATTCAGGTTTCCTCTTATACCATAACCTGAAAAATGCATATAATAATTTTTCATATTAATTTACCACTAAATTTCAAAATACACTAAACCTAAGAGCTCATGTGCTAATTTATGTAATTACACATAAATTAACTACAATATATTAATCTGGCCCAAGTTCCTTTTTTCATAGTTCACTACTTATATGTGAACTTTATCTCCACTTGAGAGATAACCACTTATTTGTTCTCTAACTCTCTTTCATTACTACACCATTCTTCAACCCTACTTATAGTTCACAGCAACTCCAACACTGAAGAATTCCCCTACACAATTTTCAGTGAAAGAAAATTGAATTTAGTTATTTGGAAAGCACTAAAACAGCTAAGCAAGGAGATAAGGTCTACCAAAGGATGGCTTGTTTTTTCTGTCATTTTGTATCAGTGTAAATGATAAATACGTGCACATCTGACTTACTAATTAAAGTATATTGTTAGATCAGGAAAGGTGAGAAGTGTGGCTTGCTCATCTCTATATTCCTAAGCATCAGGTAGTGTGCTTTGCTTACGTAAAACTTCAATAAACATATGTTGATTTTAATCTTATACAGAAAAGAACAAGGAGCTGGCAAATAAACCTTCAAAAAAATCTCTTCCTTGAGCCTTTTCAGTTGTTCAAGATTTATTTAAATACCCAACTCTCTAGAAGCAGATATTCACTTCCTAACACTTGTCAACTAATAATTTTTTTTTTTCATTTAAATTTCCAGCTAATGGAACAAAACAAAAACATATGAAAGAAGGACCATTTTGGAAGCTAGCTAGAAGGTTCAGGGGATAAGCACAAACTGAAGAGACATCAAAAGTGACAATCAAGAATAATCAAGCTCTGAAATACTCATTGGACTGGGTCAAAAATAAAATTTACGAAGCAACACTTAAACTAGAGAGAAAATACGTTGAAATCATTTTGTGAAGGGATTTTATGATGAAAAGAAAATGTATCTTACAGTGCTTTTATCATTTCTTCTTGCATCTTTTGTAAAGAATCCAGAAGCAGGGGAAGTGTGATATCATAATACTGATTCTGATGGAGCTGTGCCCCTTTCAATGCCAATACATACTGATTGTGCAACATATGAAGTTTCATTGTGGCTTTGTCATATCGTTCCTTGGCCTTTTCAGTTTCCTTCCCTGAAAAAAAAAAAATGAAGAAAGTTAGTGAAGAAAAAAGAAAAAAAATTATCTTCACTATATACAAACTGAATTACTACTGTTTTATGTTATTTCACACATTTTATAAATAACAAAATTTTATCGAACATATACTAAGTGCTTAGCTTTATGCAAGGTACTGTTGATTTGCCAATCCTTATTATAAAGGCTGCCATGAAGGAGGTATGTAGGATATGGTAAATAAAGGTCAAAGGAAAACACAAAACATACAGATATATCATCCTTTTCTTCTTTAAGAGGCTTATACCAAATTAAAACAACAGTGCACATAAAACTGTAAAACCAAGAAACCAAGAAAGTTTGTAAATAATATTAAATTTTGAGGTCTGTGTTTGAGATATCAACAAAGACAAGGGTAGTCAGAGGAGGCTTTGTAGAGAAGACAAACCTTAAAATATGGGACATGTCTGAAAAAGTATAAGAAAGGTAAGAACAGATAATAGTTCCTTCCTCTCACCTTTTTTCCTTCACTCCTTCCTTTCATTCAATGAATATTGTTAGCTGAACACTGCTAGGAACTGTGCTAAATATTGGGAATTCAGTATTTGGCAAAATAGTCCTTGACATAGAGCCTTGAAACTGGAATATTGAGTGAATATATGGAAAGAACAAAGTTACATAGGCAAGCAACTAGATAAGCTTGTCTAAAGACAGTAACTTTTGAGGAAGGTCAAGAAATAGGTCTGTTTAGGTAGGGCAGTTTTAGATGCTGAATGACTTGAAAATCAAGCAGAGAAATTTAGACTTCATGAGGAAGAAGTCTGAGAAATACTGATAATATTATGAGTTAAAATATTTTATGGTTCCCTTACTAGTCATTCAGAAAATATTTACAGATTGCCAATATATATGAATGACTATATAAATAAATGAAAGCAGATCTTAAACTTTTGATGTAAATTACACAAATACTTTTTGTCAATCTAGATTCAGAAAATAAACTGTTCAAGATATTCACTAATTTCTGCCCTCTTTCCAAAGAAGTCCTCCAAATGAATCCTCTCCGCAGAAAGAGATCTTAAGTTGAGAATTTCTGACAGCAGGCTCCCTTCTGTTGCCATTCTGCTTAGGCTCAGCAATAATCTGAGTACTCCTTTCTAAAGAATCTCAGTACCCAAGAGCAAAGAGCAGAGAAAACGTGAGGGTTTTTGCAAAAAGGGACCATTTCAGACCCTCAGACCATTCCAAGGAAGAACAACAGAATGAAGAATAGAATTCCCTTGGTTTCTCATCATCCCTCCAATTCTGAGGCTCAGGAACTACATCGACATGGTACAAACAGAAACAAACAAACCTTCTGGCAGATTTGTATGTCTCTACTATCAACAAATTCTAGTGTTCAGAAATACTAGAATCACCACTGACTTCTAGGGAGCAACACATTAATTATTTCAAAGAGTTTAATTCTGTACCCATAGTCCATTCACTGGCTCTTGCACATGAGGATATTAATAACTGTCCAAGTTATTAACATAGTGTTGCCCAGATAATCTATTTCACTTTATAACATAAAGAACTTCACAATAAGAAAATAATCTTTTCTCCTGAGTATCTCTCCTAACCCCTGTCACTTCTCACTAGAAACATGTTCTAAAACTAGAGTGGCAGGAGGGAAGCAAGTACATTAATTCAGTTCTCACCTAAGGAAAAAAAAAAATCGTTTAATCACTAAAGTAGTAGTTTTTCAAACTTTTTAACTATAACCCACAAAATAATACATTTTATGTTATGAACCAGTTAATAATCATATATGTGTTTATATAACTTTAATATAAAATGATCATTCTTACTATGAGGTATGCCCTGTGGTTTTTCAGAAAGTCTAATCTATTAGAATTTTAAATGAATTTTTTAAATGTTTCTCAGAATCCAGTTAAAATAATCCCTAGAGATTTATCTCACTCTGCATGATACTTGGAACAATTTTATTAACTTAGCAATTAATAAAATGACTTCAGTAATACTAACCATGAATGATTCTTAATGTTCTTAGGAACATACCCTCCCACATGATCGGTTACTATAATAATTTTTTTAATAAAATAATTGCTTTTTTATCCATGAATATTACTACTCAGCATTCTTCTTACAGAAATATGTTTCATTAAAAGTCCCCGAAAGTGAATGCAATTAGTTGGGTGTGGTGGCTCACATGTAATCCCAACACTTTGGGAGGCTGAGGCAGACAGATTACTTGAGGTCAGGAGTTCGAGAGCAGCCTGGCCAAGACAGTGAAACCCTGTCCCTACTAAAAATACAAAAAATTTAGCCAGGTGTAGTGGAGCGTGCCTGTGGTCCCAGCTACTGGGGACACTGAAGCAGAAGAATCACTTTAAGAGGCAGAGATTGCAGTGAGCCAAGATCGAGCCATTGCACTCTAGCCTGTGGGAGAGAATGAGGCTCTCAAAAAAGAAAAGTCAATGCAGCCAGGTGCGGTGGCTCAAGCTTGTAATCCCAGCACTTTGGAAGGCCGAGGCGGGTGGATCACGAGGTCAAGAGATCGAGACCATCCTGGTCAACATGGTAAAACCCCGTCTCTACTAAAAATACAAAAAATTAGCTGGGCATGGTGATGCATGCCTGTAATCCCAGCTACTCAGGAGGCTGAGGCAGGAGAATTGCCTGAACCCAGGAGGCGGAGGTTGTGGTGAGCCGAAATCGTGCCATTGCACTCTAGCCTGGGTAACAAGCGAAACTCCGCCTCAAAAAAAGGAGAGAGAGAGAGAGAGAGAGAGACATGTACAATTATTGTGATAAATGAATTCCAAGTAAAAAAGACACTTTCTACAGTCCACATGTTCATAATAATAAATCAAGTGTCCCCAAGCAAGATGGCCAACTAGGAACAGCTCCAGTGAGAGATCTATGCAGAAGGCAGGTGATATCCACATTTCCAACTCAGGTACCTGGTTCATCTCATTGGAACTGGTTGGACAGCCCAAGGAGGGTGAGCTGAAGCAGGATGGGGCATCACCTCACCAGGGAAGGGCAAAGGGCCAGGGAACTCCCCTCTCCTAGCCTAGGGAAGCCGTGAGGGAATTCTTATTTAAGAATCTCAAAACCCCTGCACTCCAGCCCAGATATTGCACTTTTCCCACAGTCTTCAAAACCCGCAGACCATGAGATTCCCTCCAGTACCTACACAACCACCAGGGCCCTGGTTTCTGGCATGCAACTAGGTGGCCGTTTAGACAGAAACCGAGCTAGGCCCAGCAGTTTTTCTGTTTATGCCCCAGTGGCGCATGGAAAGCCAGCAAGACAGAACCATTCACTCCCCTAAAAAAGGGAATGAAGCCAGGAAGCCAAGTAGTCTGGTCCCATCCCTATGGAAAACAGCAAGCTAAGATCCACTGGCTTGAAATTCTTATAGCCAGTGCAGTAGTCTGAGCTCCACCTGGGACATTTGAACTCGATGGAAGGAGAGGCATCCACCATTGCTGAGGCTCCACCATTGCTGAGGCTTGAATAGGCAGGTAGTTTCAACCTCACAGTGTAAGCAAGGCTGCTGGTAAGTTTGAACTGTTTGGAGCCCAACACAGCTCAGTAGCTGCAGGCAGACTGTCTCACTAGATGTCCTGGCTGGGAAGGGCATCTCTGAAAAAAGGCAGCAGCCCATCACAGACTTATGAATAAAGCCCCACCTTCCTGGGACAGAGCACCTGGGAAAAGAGGCCCTGTGGGTACAGCTTCAACAGACCTAAATGTCCCTGCCTGGCAGCTCTGAAGAGAGTAGGGGATATCCCAACACAGCATTCAAGCTCTGATAAGGGACTGACTGCCTCCTCAAGTGGATCCCTGAACAGTTTATCCTGACTGGCAGACACCTCCCAGTATGGGCTGACAGATACCTTGTACAGGAGAATCTGGCTGGCATCTGGCAGGTACACCTCTGGTATGGAGCTACCAGAGGAAGAAACAGGCAGCAATCTTTGCTGATCTGCAGCCTCCACTGGTGATTCCCAGGCAAGCAGGGTCTGGAGTGGACCTCCAGCAAAATCCAGCAGAATTGCAGCAGAGGAGCCTGACTGGTAGAAGGAAAACTAGCAAACAGAAAGAAACAGTCTCAACATCAACAAAAAGGACATCTACTAAGAGACCCCATCCAAAGGTCACCAACCTCAAAGACCAACAGTAGACAAATCCATGCAGATGGGAAGAAACCAGCATAGAAAGGCTGAAAACTCCAAAAACCAGAACACCTCTTCTCCTCCAAGGGATTACAACTCCTAACCATCAAGGAAAAAAACTGGATGGAGAATGGGTTTGACGAACTGAGAGAAGCAGGCTTGAGAAGATGGGTAATAACAAACTTCTCCGAGCTAAAGGAGCATGTTCTAACCCATGGCAAGAAAGCTAAGAAACTTGAGAAAAGGTAGACAAAATGCTAACAAGAATAACAAGTTTAGAGAAGAATATCAACGACATGGTGGAGCTGAAAAACACAGCACGAAAACTTCTTGAAGCATACACAAATTTCAATAGCTGAATCAATCAAATGGAAGAAAAGATATCAGAGATTGAAGATCAACTCAATGAAATAAAGCAAGAAGACAAGATTAGAGAAAAAAACAGTATGAAAAGAAAAAGGCCTCCAAGAAATATGGAATTACATGATAATACCAAACCTATGTTTAATTAGGAGACCTGAAAGTAAAGGGGAGAATGAAACCAAGTTAGAAAACACTCTTTAGGATAACCCAGGAGAACTTCCCCAACCTAGCAAGACAGGCCAGCATTCAAATTCAGGACACACAAAGACCATCACAAAGATGCTCCTTGAGAATAATAACCCCAACACACATAATAATCAGATTCACCAATGTTGAAATAAAGGAAAAAAATGCTAAGGGCAGCCAGAGAGAAAGGTCAGGTTACCCAAAAAGGGAAGCACATCAGAATCACAGCAGATCTCTCGGCAGAAACCCTATAAGCCAGAAGAGAGTGATGGCCAATATTCA